AAATTTAACAAGGATTTTTCTTCTCCTTCCCACTACAGTTGGTATCACCAACAAATTACCTGTGTTGGTAAGACAGGTCAGAGCCTGCGGGCAATCGAGGGGGCTTCCAGCAGCTCTGAGCTCTGAGGGCAATCAGGAATGGGAATTTCTGCTAAGAACAATGACTAAATAGAAGAGAGAGGTATTTAATAAGGTTACCTGAAGTAAAGCCCAAGGAAGAAAAACAATCATAATAAATAACATGAAAGGTCCTCTCACTGGTCTGTTGTGGATCAAGCTGATTTTTTTAAGCAGGAATTCAACATTTCAAGCATGAGTGGCTGTCAACCCTTCACTCTCCACTTTGCCCAAGAGATGTCAAAGTCCAGATGCAATGCCTCATGGGAGCCATCACTCAGCCTGACCCAGCACGCTCCATTTCTCCTTCTCTTGAACCCACCCCAGGGTGACGTGAACTGAAGCAGGCAACAAGCAGTAGAGGAAATAACAAGTGCCCTTTCAAATAAATATTCTTTGTGCATATAAAACAATTCCAGAATATTGTTGTGGTTTTAATTTTCTGAAAACCTTTTGAGTAAGTTGGCTTACTCTTTGAAGCAATACATTAACATTTGAAATCCTTTATATTCATGAAGTACACTACAGTTCCAATCATAAAACTGTCCTGTGATAACTGCCCATGAATTATGGGGATTATAGGAACATGAAATTTCAAAAACTCCTGCTGCCTGTCCAACTCTACATTTCCCAGTGCATGCCCTTCAGGACATTAGTTCCATGAGATGCTGGTAGACACTATATGAAAAAAAAAAGTAGGAGAGAGAGAGATCTGTGTGCAAGAAATATGGAAAGTTTTTAGTTAAATAACAGGTTTTGTTACCACAGACGAATTGCCACGTTCCTACCTGTAGCAGGTCTCTCCACTTGTTGAGTTCTCTTCCCCTCTACTACTTCAGGACACAGCTGTACATTACCTCCCGCTTATACACTACGAATTTTTCCATCTTACTGGACTATTCCCTAGGTAGTGTCTTATATTTTTTTTAAAAAATCTTCTTCCCAAATTATCCTCCAGCCACTTCTTCCCACTTCTTCCCATTGAGAGCTGTCTGAGCTCACTTCCCAATTCTACCCCTCCATGTCTCCCTTCTGTCCACTCTCATTTGGCCATCATTCTCACCACATCATGGAAGCTGCTCTCTATGAAGTCCTGGATGGTGTATACATTGCTAAATCCAGTGGTCCATTGCCTGTCTTTACCTTATTTCACCCAGGAGCCACATATGACACACTTGATTACTCCCTTTCCTGGAGTCTCTTGCTCAGCCTGGCCTCCAGGACTCCACACTCTGAAGGATTTCCTCCTGTCTCAATGATACTTTCTCCTCTTCTCCTTGACCTCTTTAGGAGAGGGGCCCCAGACTTGGTCTTTGCCCTCTCTATTTTTCTATCTACACTCTTTCCCATGGCAGTGCCATCCAATCTTAGAGTTCTAAATGCCATCAAAATGGGGGAGACTCCTAAATTAGTAGATCCAGGTACATTGCCCCAGCCTCCTGAACAAACCCACCTACTTCACATTTCCTTCGGATTTCTAAAAGGCAACCAGACGTCTTCAAAGCTGAGTTTCTATCCTTATCCTCCAAACCTCTACCCACAGTTGTTTCTATCATAGTTGGAGACCATCCCAGCAATCCAGTTACTTGGACCAAAATAGGGGAGTCTTCCTTGATGTTTCTCTATCATACCCTCATCAAATCTTTTGGTGACTCTGTGCCTCTACTTCCTGAATGCAACTTAGAACCTGACCACTTTTTACCACCTTCTCTGCTACCACACTGGGCCAAGTCACCATCATCTCTCACCTGGATTATTACAACAGCCTTCTAAATTATCTGTGTCCCACACTTACTCGTACAAGCTCTTTCCACACAACAACATGAGCAAAGCTTTTACAGTATAAGTCAGATGATGACATCACTCCTGCTCAAAACCCTCCAGCAGCGTTTTAATACCACTCCGATCACCTGCAAGCATACGATCTATGATCAGCTCTTTGACTTCACCTCCTCCTCTCTCCCTTGTACACTCTGCTCTGATGACCCTTCACACACACCCTAGGCCACTCCAACCACAGGGCCTTTGCATGGGCTGTTCCTCTGCTCTAGAACACACTTCCCCTTGTGTTTCTGCACCCCATTAAGTCTTTGCTACAATGTTACCTTCCTGATAGGGTCTACCCCATCCACATTAACAATTTTATATTCCCCTCCTAGTGTCCCTGACCCTGTTCATCCTATTTGCCAACTCCATGGCACTTCCTGCTTCCTAACATTCAATGCAATTGTCTTCTTAATTGTATATTGGGCGTCTGTGCTTCCCTGGACTATAAGTCTCATAAGAGCAGGGATTTTTACCTAATTTCTTTACTGACTCATCGATTTTGTTTACTGATTTGCCTATTTTCTTTACTAATTCAGTCTACAGACTGACAAAAAGTACATAAATGTCACTGAATAAATTCATAAATTAATGAATAGGTAGCTCATTCAGTAAGCAGGAGGAAACTACTTAAAAAATTAACAAATGTCTACAGTACAAACTGTGCTTTAGGATTTTTACTCAAATAGCTGAGTTCTTTCAAAATCTCAGACTGTGTTTCAATCACTGCAGGTACTCTAAGCCCTCAAGAAAGGGAGACTTTGAAACTAGAGATAAAAGAAGGATACAGCACAATGAGAAATCTCAAGATGTAACCCTTTCGGAGAAGTAAAATACTTCTTCATCTTTCTCAAAGAAGTAAAACAGTACTTCTGACAAGTTATGTTGCTGGATCCCAGTAGTAGAATGACAGAGGTAATTCCATGACACCAGAATCACGCCTGGGCATTCCACTCATTCCAGCGTTCTAGGCTGGAATGTTTCTCATACATCAGAATGTATCTTCAAGGGATGAAAAAAGTATGCCTCCATCCATGTCCCTCAATGCCTCCTTTCCAACCCTCTTGCAATGTCTGTTAAGCACACAGTAGGAACTGCAAACTGATTGTTCAGGCCATCTGTGGCTTTCCATCAATACATTTGCAGGAGTGTATGCTGTTCTTCACAACATGCCTTCTTGGGAAATATCCTATGTCAGAATGGACAAAGTAAACCCCCAGCCTTTTCTTGTGAACAGGAGCAGAGGGAACTGTCATCTTCCCATCCAGGTAAGCACAACCACCCTCTTCTATGGGTGGAGATCATAACATACTTTTGAGCTAGAAGGAGACTCTCAGAATGCAGTAGTTTTGAGGTTTGCCTTTAGAAAATGAGCATAATAAAGCATTGGCTTCTTTCAGTGTCTAACACAGATTGCTAATTCTCAGAGCTCTCAGGTGTTTGAGCTGGGTATGAAGCTTTTGTGCATGACACCTAGCTAAGCCAACAACAGCAGTTTTCTTGGGTTCTGCTCCCGCTGCTATCACCTCCAGGAAAAATGCTTTAGGAGCTGAAAATCACTGGTTGAAAATGTTCAAAGCCAAAAATATCATCACTTTGAAAAGAAAGGAAAGCTGCCATTTTACAAAGAAAGAGGTTAAGAGGCTTACTAACAGTTTGCCTAACAAGGGAGCCCCTGAGTGAAAATGTTGCCTTCATCTCTTTCTTCCCGACCCTTTGTTCTCTGCATCACACTAGGCTACTCCAAGTCCAATCAGGTGGTCTTCAGCCTTTTATCCTCTCACTGTCAGAAGGTTGTTCCTGTACCACCAGCATTTTTATCAAAATGTGTGGATGTGCTGTTATGTATGCAGCATATTGCTAGACAGGAAGGCGGGGTTAAGACATCAAGTCACCTGTCCTTACGTGTGTGTCCCCCAGTCACCTGGAGAGGCAGTCTTGACTTTTGCTTGGTGGTCCATGGCTCTGCCCTAGTGAGGGGTGGAATGTGCCATGAGTTGTTACTGGCAGCGTCTCAATGATGGATGAGTGCTTCTCCCTGTTCTCATAACTAAAAAAGAACATGCAAACCTGTCCCTTCAGTAGACTAATGTTCAGCCACTTACTTCCTAGTGTGCTTTTGAGAGAATGTGAGAAGGTGGTATCTTCCTGAGGCTCTGCATCACAGCCAGCAGGCAGAGACTGCAAATACATGACCTTCGTTATCCAGGGTTGGGCCAGCTGTGGGAGCAGGATGCTTATGAGAACAGCATCCACCATGTGGAAAGTAAGGAATCCAGGCTGAACCTCACAGCCCACAGCAATATGGTTCATCCCACTTTGGTGAGCTTTGCAGTCCTTTCATCATCTGACCCTACCGAGGCATCCAAGCTCACCCTCAGGTTCACTGAGCCCAAGTCCGACCACAGCCTCCAGTCCTCTCTGCAAACATGCCCTTCCTGGCCTCCCTGACAGCTGCTTTAATGCCTCTGTGACATCCCCTCCAAGTCCTCTTGTCCAGCTGCTCCAGCACTTCACTGAGCTCCCCCTCCTCCTGTAGATGTCACCAGCCAAATTATACAATTTAACTCCTAAATGTTCTCATATTAGTTGAAGGGTACCTAAGCTATGAGCAAGGCCTGTGTGGAATCCCTCGCCACCCTGCCCAGTATACAGCCTATTCCTAAGGATTTGCAGTACAGAGAAAATAACCTTCCTCAGTTTTCCCAAGGTTAAACAGGTGGAGTCTTTTGTTGGACATGCATAGCCCTTGTGAATATTATTCATCAAATTTATTTTAAGTGTTTTTAAAACTATAGATGATGCCCAATGTCAAATTTAACACTTCATTTGATCATATTATCTCAAGCATTATGTTTCTTCTACCTAAATAGTAGAAGCATATTTAAAAAAATGAACCTTGGGAAATTAAAAGATGGGGGTAAACTTTTTTTAAAGTGCTTTTTGAAATAACCATAGAAAAACTCAAAGTTTTCTCTCCTCAGCTTGCCAAATGCAAGGCCCTTCTCACTGTCAGTGGACCCTGGAGGGCAGCTTGGCTCCAGCCCCAGGCTACTCACAGATCACTGGTATGGCAGGGGTAAGGGGCCGCCTGCGTCTGTGCTGCTGGTTCCAGAGCTTCCTGCCCAGTCTGCACCAAAATGATGGCTCTTTCGATCATGTCTTGCAGTGGGACAAAGACGTAGTTATATTTGAACCCATCAGCTGGTAGATTCTGAGGGTGGAACTTCCAAGAAGGGTTTTTTACCAAATCTGTTCGCATGCTATATAACACATTGGTCCGGATTGTATATGAGACATGGGGTGGCAGTTTGACAGACTCTGAGCTGAAGTTCTTGCTGAATAAGGAACTGTTGAAAATGATACCTAATGGCAGAAAAGGAAAAACGAAGCATTACCATACTGCAGGGAGTTGGTCATACCACGTCTATACTGGGTGCGATGGGTAAGTCACAAGACCCTGCAACTCATCACAGCCCTCCACTCCTGCAGACTCAGAGCCCAAGCCCCCAGGGGCAAAGCTGACTTTCAGTCACATAGGCAATAAGTGGTAAGCCTGAACCGAGACCTCTTAATTTCCTGTCCAGCGCTGCTTTGTATTTTTTATAAAAGCATACTGTGGTATAATTAACACCAAAAAAAAAATTATTTGTTAGGTGTTTTTTGCAGGGATTTCTTCTTTTCATTGCAGATCAAGAGCAGAATCCATCTCTTCTGCACTCAATGTGCAGAACCCGTCTCTTCGGGGTTACTTATCATTCGCAATTTAAATACATGGACCCTATTTTCTGCCACATGGATTCTCTGAATTAGGTGCACAAAGCCTATTACAGCTAAATCGTGTCCCCTACTAAATTCATATGTCAAAGTCCTAACCCCTAGTACCTCAGAATGTGACTATATTTGGAGATAACATTTAAAGAGACATCAAGTTAAACTGAGGGCCATTAGTGTGGGCCCTAACTCAATATGAAGGTGTCTTTATAAAAAGAGGGAAACTTAAACACAGAGAAATACATAGAGGGAAGATGAGGTGCAGAAATCCAGGGAAAAGATGGCCACCTACAAGCCAATGAGAGAGGCCTGGAGAAGATCCTTTCCTCACAGCCCACAGAAAAACCCAGTGAATGCCTCCATCCAGAATATCTAGCTTCCAGAACTCTGAGACAATAAACTTCTGTTGTTTAGTCTGTGATACTTTGTTACAGCAACCTTGACAAACTAATACAAAACCTCTATTAAAAATAATTAAATGTATATTCCAAAAGAATATGAGAGCACCACCATATTTATCTTGAATGGGTGAACAATTAAATAATGGAGCAGAGCTGACCATTGTCTGCTCTCTGCCCCAACCAGGATAACAAGACACTCTGATCAAAGTGAAAGTGATGATGCAGGAAATTAGAGTATAACTTTAATCAGGAATAATGTAATTTATGTGAGATTTAACCAGAACATGTTGTCATAAAATGGTAAAAGCAGATGCAGTAAATAGCACTGGTCCTAGAATGGTGAAAACGTTATCAGTCACAATGGCATAAGGTACAATTTTGCATTAACCAGGCAAATATTTCTGCTTTATTTTATGTTTTATCTGGAAAGGACTTATTTTCTTTCTGAGCTACCATAAGACACCTTTAGGGAGAAACTCCCAAAATGACAACTTATGGGGATTGGCACCTTTGTGGACATAGATTTTTCGTTGAGTACTTACTGGCCAAGAAGTCATTCTGCTGCAAGAGCTCATGTGCTTTAGTCTCCAGGATGTCGACAGACTGCACAGCCTGGAAACGGTTCAGCGCCACGCAGGAAGAGAGATTGACCAAGATGCTGCCTAAGAAACGGAAGCGTCCGGCATCTGTGTGGTTAAACAGCTCATCCAGCAGGTCTCCTGAGCAAAGGGTACAGATTAGGACAGATCAACTTCTGTTCCCCACCCCGGGTTTACTGCTCAGATAGTGGAGACCATCCAAATGAATCTGAAAATGAATATGAATTCTTCCACTAAAAAATTGCTCAAAGGAGTCAAGTTTTGTACATATGCAAAATTTGCCATTTACTTGCTGAGTGTAAACTCTCCCATTTTATATGCATGCTCTGTAACACTGATACATGTACATGAGGGGAAAAAATCACAAAGGGTGATACAGCAGCCTAAGGAAATGAGGTTGAAGATAACAGGATAAACAGCAGAGGGAAAGTCTACATGTGATAGGAAAGACAGTTTCAACCTGGAGTCCATTCTAAAAAAAAAAAAAATGCCTTCCCTGAAGCAGTCATTTTGGAAAAGTCATTTTGTTACATTAATTTTGCAAAAGCAATTATCAAGGAGTATCAATGCTGAGGAAACCAAATCCTTGTATAGTCTTTGTCCCGGATCTGTACATTCTAAATGGAAATAGAGCAGCAGAGTAAAGTCGCAACACCTTGGCTGTGAATGCTGCCATCGAACATTTTCAGGGCAAAAGGCTGAGGATATCTCAGTATTTCACTCTGGTTTCAGGAAGGAGCTAGAAAAAACAAATTATCTAGAGCAAGGCAGCATGGGAAGAAAGCCCAGAATGGGACCTCAAGAGGGAAAGCAGCAGGAAAGATCACAAAGTCCATACGTGGTGGAGCCGTTTGGGGAACCAAGCTGCTCGGGTTTGCTCTGCTGGAGACCCTGGCAGCAGAAGATGCTGTCACCGACCAGGGCCCCTCCATCACATCAGGTGGGGCGAGTGTGGCTTCACCCTCAATGGTACCAGAGGAGGTGATCCTGCTCATCTAGCTGCTGTGATGATCACAGCAAAGGAGTCTCTGCCAACCCTAGGACCGTCTCCTTAATGAGACCCAGAGAATTTACTTTTTGGCTCAGGACTTTATCAAGAAAGTTTAAAAATTAATTGAGAAAAATTTAACATACATGAAAGCATATCGATGAGTTTTTAGAAATGCTCAATCTGCACAAACACACACCGCAAATTATAAAACTGTGTAGACAAAATTAGTGTGGGACAACTGTCGGTTGCCAATGATCAATCACCTTCTCAGCTATGGGAGCAGCTTAATCCAGTCCCAAACAGTGGGGAGATCTCAACTCCTGACATATCCTCCTCTCAAAAAGCTCTCCTAAAGGAGCTCAGCTACAACTAGCCTCCACCCAACCCCAAATCTATCAGAGTGACCAGAACCATCCACTGTCTGGGAAATGCAAGCATGTTTAGAGTCTTTGAAGCCAGAAAGAAATGGAAGCACATTTAGAATCTTCCAAGATCACGCTTACTTGTTTATATGACACTTAATCTTTCCTGCACCTTTTACTTTTACCAAAGAATGATGTACTTTGGGGTGAGTGTTGAATAGCTAACATTCCCATTCTATATTATTCTGCTGTTGAATATACGAGTGCATTTTCTATCCAGCAGTTTGCTGATGGTCATTCCTGAGAAAGTTACAGGGAAGAGGTCCCGATCTACACTCCAAGAGAGGGTTCCTGGATCTCATGTGAGAAAGAAATCAGGACAAGTCCACAGTGCAAAGCAAAAGCAAGTTTACTAAGAAAGTCAAGTGGCAAAAGAATAGTTACTCCATAGACAAAGTAGGACAGAGGTTCCCAAAAGTAAGAAATGAAGGGGGGGAACACATCCACCCTAGGTACAACACTTGCACATATGGAGAGATGTGTCCTACCATAAGGGTTTGTGATAAAGGATTAATTTTCTTAATTACTATATTTTGCAAGAATTGATATTATTAAGAAAGTCTTTGTTCTCCAGATATCAGGATATCTGGACTCTCCCAAGTCTAGGTCTGTTTAGTAAACATTATTAATTTGTTTCCTTAACCATAAACATCTGCCGGCTAGGAATGCCTAACTTTCTGAGAATGCAGCCCAGCAAGTCTCGGCCTAATTTTCCGAGCCCACATTCAAAATGGAGTTGCCATGGTTCAGATACTTCTTACAGGAACACTGCAATGCTCCACACCAGACTTCCAAGTGTCCAGCTCAGAAATTTTCTGTGGAACAGAAGTTGTCCATGTGCATGTCCAGTGTCAGCCCTTGACTCTGTTCTCCTCTGTGGTCTGGGGGCAGCCTCTGCCTGCAGGTTCCACCACTTGCCCTCCATTCTATGGTAGCAGGCAATAATCTATCCCAGGCTCTGTGTGTAGGCACTGCTTCCCATTGGTCCTCCTCTATCTCACTGACCTCCTGAGCTCAACTTTCCAAATGACAGTCAGCTGCTCCCTGTGTTCACTTGCACCCTCCATTGAAGCTTGGAGCCTACCTGCCATCCTGTCCCCAGACATGGCAGCATCAGTCCCCACTGATATCAAACAGGCCTCTGCCTCTCACACTCCCTTCCCTCCTCTACTGGTTTCCCTGCTCCCAGATCCTCCCAGTTTTCTAGGTTTCTGGATCAAGTCTGGGCTTCACTTGCTGGCCATTCAGCCCATGTTTGAAAGCGATGGTTGGGGCTCTGCAAAGAGGAACAAGCCCTGAATAAGAAATTACATCAATATCCATCTCCATCATCCTGAGGTCTGTAGAAAAATGAGTCGACACGTCCTGACCTCAACTTCTTCCCTGGTAAGGAAAGACTGGTTTCCATCCACCAACTTCAGATGGCTGAGAACATATAAGTTTCCAAACAACATCAAGAGGTGTCAGGCTCCTTCTGCCCCTCATCCCTTCTTCCCCTTATCTCCTCAACCTGAATTGCTCAGTTTCTCAAAGAAAAGACTGTCATTCGTTATGTTGTTACTGCTGTTATCATGTTCCAGTAATTTGCAGATCTCAGGCCAAGACATGAGTGTAAGGATTTGGATTTCTGATAATTAAGCTTTTGCCAAATATCTACAATAATAGCAAGGTGGCATTGTAGGAGAGTCAGTTTTGTGCTAGGTACAATTCTGGGCACTTCTGTATCGTCTCACTGAATCCTTATATCCATGGGGAACTGCTAGTGGCACGTTCATTTTAAAGTGTAGGAATTAAGGCACAAAGGAAGTTTCAAAACCATGATTCAAACACATTCTATCTAGCTCTGGGATCCACCTTCTTACAAATACACCAGGCTGCATTTGTATTGAGTGGAACCATATGAAACTGATGTTTAATGTCTTTCAAAAATATTCAAACATCAGGAATTCCAGACAGCACTCCCTAATACATAGTGGAAGAATTACATGAACTAGAGTTCAAGGAACTGGGTTCTTGGTTCCACCGAATATTGCAGGACCTTGAAAAAGCCAGTCTCTAAAATACAGATTATCATCTATATTTTAGAAAGAATAAAAATCTCGGTATTGTTTTCCAAAGAGAGATAAAAAATATATTTTTTAAAAAGGCATAAAGCTATTTAGTAAACTCTAAAGCAGAAGATCAATTAACTATTGCCATCAGAGCTCACACACATCTTATAGAAATCCTCCCACAGTCCCCAATTTGGTGGAGCCTGAAGGGCCTGGTTAAGATAATCAAAATGAATTCACAGAAGAATGAAACAAGCTCATTGGAAAAATCAGTGAGAAGAAAATCGCTCAAGCCAGAGTTCTCAAATGGCGTCAACAGCAGAAACATGTCATTGCACAGCAGTTTTCTTTTTCATTTAGTTTCATAGTCAACACTTTCTAAGGTTTAAGGCAGAAAGGAACCTTTGGCTGTTTGGCTAACACAAGCAAAGAGGAGCTATAAGGATCCACAGTGTCCAGTTTTCTGCCTCAGAGTGTCATGAGTCCCCCAAGTCCCCCAAATGGGACGCAGCATCTCAGGGTTCCTTGGAAAAATTCTGAGCCTCTGAGCGACTGTGATGCACACCAGTGAGGCCTTTCCCTCGGCACTGACATGGAAGGGTTAGGGGCTGGCTAGCAGTCTGTTCCAGTCCACCTCGCTCAACAAGAGGTCACGTGGTTTGGTTTAAAGAATTTCTCTTGGCATGATGCCCATTTGGCCTGGAGATGGGGACACAGGATCTCCACCGTCTACTGGACCTCATGGACGATGGGTCAGATGGAGTTAGGTGCCTGCTCACCACCCCTCAGTGGGCATCTGAGGCTGTTTAATCCTCATCCTCTTTATGAAAAGAAAATAATTACGTACTCAATGGTCTTTTTCTAAAGATGAAGTGAAATAATGTGTAAAACGCTTGACACTGTCTGGCACATACAGTGTACTCAATGACTATTTCCTAGTATCACAGTTATTAATATACTATATAAAATTGTTTCTAGTAGAGGAGACAAACTCCACTAGCTTTACCTCACTCTAAGTCTCCAATATCAGCTCAGGTAACACAGCACAATCAAAGAAATGTCCTGTGTGGCAGGGCAATTTCCAGATTTCCAGCCCCACCCCCACCCAACCAAAATGAATCACTCAGCACCTCAGTTTATCTGCTGTGGGGACACAGAGGGCCGGAGCTGGACAGCTGGCCTGGACTGGCTGATGCGGAGGCAGTGCTGACACCAGCAGTTCTTAACATTTCTTGTCTGTTTCCTCTATTTCCTTCTCCTAGATGGCACTGCATCTCTGAACTGGCCCTTGGCTGGTGAGTCCATCACACTGTGCTGACAGTGCTTTCTTATATTGCACTTCTCAGGCTACTCCACCCAGGGAGGAGGGTGGATACAAGGGTGTGCAAGAAGAAGACAGGATCCTGGATGAGCCTGGAGAACTGTATACTTAAGCTGTATACTTAAGAAAATTCCATGAAATAACTGACTTTTGTGTGTGAAAATGTTATATTGTACTAGTCTACTCATTTGTTTTAGTATAAAATTATGTCTCATTTTCCCCAAAATGTGTTGCAAAAGTGATTCCTTTGGATATTTCATCATGTTTACTCCATGATTTTCCATGGGCCCTGGAAGACTGCCTAGCACCTGCTAGAAGTATTGCAGTATCAGGTT